CCAGCATTATCTTGTCATTGGGGCTGGAAAAACAGCAAATCTTTAAAAAATCCAAGTCTCTTTTGAAGATTTGAATGGCTCATTTTAAAGAATAAATTTGTAAAGCACTTTTCTTTCCACAGTTATAGCAACAATCTTTGATAAATCCTTTTCACCTTAAGACCAAGAGATGGCAAGCTGCCCTTTCCAAAGGTTTTAAGGAGCCATCCTGTGATCTGATGTTTGGCAGAGTATTGATTGATTGAAAGGGGAAAAAAACTGTTCATACTTCAACATATATAAAGCAGCAGCTTTTTGGGTTTCCACACAGAAATTTAAACAATAGTTACCTTCTCCCAACAGTTTATGCACTCAGTCATGTCCCAATAGAAGCAACTCCTGCACCCTTCAAGCAGAGTGGGAGAACTGAACACCCAATCCCAGACCCAAGAGGAGATCCAAGCAGAAATCCATGCCTGCTTCCCAAAGGAGGGGTATGGGGAGGTTAAAGAGATGAACACTGGGAGGAAAATCAACACACTGCAGAAGCTGCTGAAAAGTTTCTGAGAGTCATTGTCCCAAACACAATGGAGACACTTTAATGAATGACAGGTAAGACACTTTTTCCAGGCTCTACACTTCAGAGGGACTTTGTGCACTGATCTCTCAGCTGTCCCATAAGATAGGAATCCCTCCAAAAGTGCAAGACCTTGGCAACTTAGCCTGGCAGCACACACAACTGAGCTCAGCAGGATAGTGCTCTATAATCAGGCACATTTCAAGATGTTGCCTGTGCACCTGAAAGAAGAATAAACTTTCCTAATGTTCAGCAGTATCCATTTGAGGACTCATCCTTTTAGTAGAGCTTAATTAATAATCTTGTGTGTACAACAACTCCACCAATATTCAGACCAAATCCTGAACAGCCCAAGCAGAATAAGACAAACTACAATACAATCTCCTAGTAAACTGAACAGTACTTGCCAGAAATACTCGTCTGCAACAGAAAAATGCTGCATGGAAGCTACTACAAAGCTATCACTGTAACTTAAAGCAGAACACGCCTTTTCCTGTCTTCTATAATCTGATCTAGCACTTGCAGACATGTCACAGAAAATGTTGTGAACCAGAGGTGAGTGCATATCCTATAATCCCTACTGTATCATCTGTGTCTGCAGTTCTACGCAAATATGGACAAAAATAAAGTGTCATCTCTTCCTCTGCAGTTTTCTGGCTTAAAAACACCCAACAACATTCAGCGTAACTTGCAAGTAAGGCAAAAACTACCTGTCTGAAAATCAACAACTGCTGGTAGCAAAGATCAAAACCCACCCAAAAGTTACCTTTAACAAGAACAAACCCTGAACACATTCAAAGCTTATCATGCATCTGAGCAACTCGGCTCTCATCACACTCTTCCATTCTCAGAGAACAAGGACACTCCTGGAGAACACTTCAAAATGCTTCTCTCAACAGCTCTCACAGCAAGTTCAAGAAATGACTGACACAAGAGGGGAGTCCAAGGCTGCTCTTACTCACAAGGGCCCTGCTCAGTGTTCCACAGCACCAAACGCTGCTCAGCTGCCAATGCCTCGGAGCAAAGCTCCAGGAGAACAGCAAACCCTCACAGCCACACTCTGCACAGCTCACCAGCACAAACAGAAAAGCTAGGAAATGCCCAGGTAAGTCAGTCTGCATGCTGCAGAACTAACAGAATGGCTGTGTTTATCCAAGTCATTTCAGGAGATTTTTACCAGAAACCAAGCAGCAACGGGAAACATGAAATGTTAATGAGGTGGCAGAAGGTGTTGGGCTGATTCAGACTAAATCTGTAACTCATCCGTGTCAGCCACCTGAGAGGCCAGAGGAGGAACAAGCCTGGTGGCTGAGGGAGAGGAAGGCTGAGGACCAGAATCTCCAGTGTAAGTTACAGAACCGCCTCAGCTACAGAGCCAGGACAGCCTGCAGTTACCTGAGCTAGCAAAACAATCACCTGAATGAGTCTGGTTTGGAATAAAATGTGAGGGATTATAACATTAACCACCTGGGAAGCACTGAAGTGGCACATATTGCACTAAGCTCTAATTAGCTCTTTCCAGTTTTAAAGCACTACACAAGCATGACCTAATGAATTTTCATAAATGCTCCAGCTAGTGGCCAGAAGGCCCCTATTTTTATACCAAGGAAAATAAATCATATTGGCTATCCCATGACCACTTGAGTTAACAAAATGAGGAAGGACACTCTAGTGAACTAGACATGGAAATGCTGATTCCTAATTCCATTAAAATATAACCAAGTTTTTTTGTTGTTTTTTTTTTTTTCTGCTATAAAAAGATCACATTGTTTCCTTAGGCTCCCAACAGTAAAAGATACTCTCATCAGTAAAAGATACTGGAGAAAAACAAAAAAGCAAGAGCAGCTTAACAAGACCTCACAATGTATGTTATGCATTTATATTGAAGTTTTAAGCATATTCTTGCAGAAACTTCAATCTTAAACCCTTTTCCTCTATACTTCCTACCTGCCCAATCTACAAATGGTTTCTACACTACACATTCTTGCTGCCTTTCCTCCAGAATTTATATGTAAATTCTGACATTTTTCACTCCTTACCCATCACTGCTCCATTTTCCATTTGCTCACCTCTGCCTCTGTCCCAAAGTGTCCCATTCCCATGGCCAATACTTCCCCAGTGTTTCTGCCTGTGCTGTCTTAGTGTGAGCCATGTTTTCCAGTCCAGTGAAAAGTTAAACTCAAGAGTTTGAAAAGAAGTTAGAGCAGATAACAGTCCAATAATGCTCCTCTACCATGTTAGTCCCAACGCTTTACCTTATTGTTGTGCCACTTTTCCCTCTCTCCAACTCATCTAATGATTGCTGCTATCTCTCATCATATTTTTTTTTGCCACAAGCAGCTAAACTGGAAGCAGAACAGTATTTTCCTCTTTTTCCCCATTCTACAGTGTTAAAAATTTTTAGTCTGGAGCTTTCACTTCAAGAGTCAGTACTTGACACGCCTGAACTGTCTGTGTCTCTCCCAACTTCCCCCTGCTCTACCTCCTGACTGGGACACGCCTGTCACTCCCTCCTTAACCATTTGTGTCTTCCTCTCTTGTCACAGCACAGACCTGAACTCTGAACACCCTCCTGCAAAGCCTGGAGCAGGTACAGCAAAAATCCACACTGCTCCAGGAGCTTCCCTCTGTTCTGCTGCCCACATGGAGCTCTGGCAGAACTTAAGCTGAAGCTTATTGGGGTAAAACTGAGCCTTCATGCTTGGCCAGCACAGATCACAGTGCCTGCACTCAACACAATGACATCATTCAGCTGCCTTTTTTCTTCTTCATGTTTATAACTTGGCATAAATACGTCCAGCTGAGATTTTGAAAGGATTTAAGAAATAAAGTAATATAAGTATAAATAAAGCAGTTACCTTGCTTTCAGAAACTATTAGGATGGTACTCGACTATTAAGAGCACCTAAAAAAATATTCTTGAGTCCTGCCCTAAAGCACAACATGATAAAAATATATTTTTGCAGGTAATTACACAGATTTAGGGATTTACAGAAAAAAGCAACAGCTTTTTTTCTGAAAGGTTCAGAAGAACAAATTCTTCACAAGCCACTCAAAGTGAAACTCTGCACATGTTTCAGTTATGGAACGAACCCACTTCCCAGAGCCTCAAGATGACAGAACATCAAGTAATTGCTCCCTTCCCTTTGCTACACAGCCTCAAGTCACTAAACATATTTAATTGAAGACAAAACTGTTTTATTGAACAGATTTTAAAGCAGATCCCTCTAGCACAGCAATTACACCACTAGAATTCACATCTGCACCAGAACCTTGACTACAGAAGAGCAATTACTCTTTTATGATCACTTGAAGGTGAAACTCAAGGAGCAACAGGTCTCCTTAGGAACTTATTTACAGAGCTCAGCCCAGGGCTGGCCAGGTGATAGGCCACTGCAGCACCTGCCCATTCTGCAATCTCCAGAAGACATTCCATGATCAGGGCAATATATATTTATAGAATATTTACACAACCTCTTTAAGTCAGGCCATGATTACACAACCATTCATAATAGCTCAACAGGAGACATCATGAGCTATTGTTTGGATTCACACTAACACAAAGGTTATTTTTAAGATATAAAAACATGAAGCCACTTATGTTTGAGAGACCTACAAGAACAGATTCAATCTATTTTAAGGTTCATAACCCACACCCCCACAAAACCCTATGCCAATGGCACACACAAGTCTATGAACCAACAATCAAATTTAACTCAAATTTTTCATTTCTTTTTGCAGTCTTTGCATGGGAATGGAGTAAAGGGAGTTCAGCTGTCACAGACAGTTTGAGCTGCAGCTCAAGAATCAAGAGGTTTCTTTTTCCTTTCCAACCCCACTACTGAACTGTATACTCCATCTCTACTCCACTATTAAATTGTGTATTCCATCTTCAGCTCAGAACTTCAATGTAACAAAAATCTCATTACATGAGTATTAACACAGACATTCAAAATTAAACAGGAAGTATACAGAGGGAATGTTTGCTAGATTGCTCAAACTGGAATAGAGAAGGGAGTGGTTTTTAAATTCTTGTCATTAACCCATGCGTATCTTTTCTTTAAAAATCATGTTACTATTAAGCCTGTCTTTATTGTAAATCATTTTTTTTTTGTTTGGCTCCGTTTTTTGAGTTGATGCACCAGTTAATAAAAGGGAGGTAATAATCATATGGTAAAAATACTGCGCAGGTACCAGCTTTGTAACAAGACTTGAAAGCCCTCAGCTTTCCCACATATGAAATGAGGACCATTACGTCAGAATCTCTTTTATTATTAAAAAAAGGGGGGGGAAGTAGCTAAATGCAGCTGTGTGCAACACCACAGAATAACAGTCAACCACTCAAAAACGCTTAAGGAAGCGGCTCGGTCGGTGTTTCACACAGAAAGCAACACAGGAACAAAATCACACACAGGCAGTTCAAGACACTGAAGGCCAAATCTTACCAGCTGGAACTCCCTGCGCCTGTCGTACGCGTGCTGGATGCCACTGTCTGCCCACAGGGCTCGGATGGCCGGCAGGTAGTCCAAAAAAACACCGGTCTCCACCATGCCCTGCACCACGGTGACTGCGCGGGTGTCGAAAGCCATCACCTTGTCCCCGTTGCTCTGGTTGGCAGGATCTCCCCAAGGGATATGGAGTTTCTCTCTGGCATCCACGAGGACTCGCACACCTGCAATGACAAGGAAGAGCACTGTGAGCAGTTTCTCAGCATCTACTGTTTCACCAGCCCAAAGATCTGCACAGAGGCAAACAATGCACCTACTCTGCACAAAGCTCAATAGGAACATCCACTCATAGGGAATCAGGAAGCCTCCAAAAAACTGGCTCAAACTACTACATTTACAGGTAATATCAAACCCTATCTCAAGTACATGACCACGATTAACAAAATTATATGCACAGTTTGAGCTTAACTTTTGAAAAAGTGTTATTTTTAATTACTAATTTTATCCAAATTGTGCTACCAAACTCTTTCACTGGGCATGTGTACAAGACAAAGTATGCTTAAAAGTTTATTTCAAAATATGTTAAACCACCTGATGTCTTGCTTTAAGGTTCTCTAGTTTGTGTTATCAACTTGGTATCCAGTTATATCAAATTATACAAAGAATCTCTATCACTGAGAGTATTTCCATCATTGCCTTTAATATTTTCAGAGGCACTGAGATATGTCCTAAAATCATTGCACTTGCTAAAAATATGTTTCTATAGCTTAAGTGCAGAAGGAATTGTATCACCTAAAGGCTTCCCTGCACTTCTGTGGTTGTTTTGGCAAATATTCTCTAGCAGAAAATGAGTATTTTAAACTTCTTTTGAAAGTCCTTCTGAAGGATATAAACTCACTGTGCTCATACTGACAAGGTAAAGGCAGGAAATGATTTCTAGTACTAAATTTACTGATGAGAAAATAGAAAGAAAATTCCAGAAAGAATAAGCAACAGTAAAGGCGTGGGAAGAGATATAAGGAAATTAAGATGTGGCAACAAATGACTGTACAGTAACATGCTCGTTCAGTGCAAAAGTATTTTGTTAAAGTTTGCTCCCTTTCCATGGTTTTTCTCTCTGTCAAAGGCAGGTATCTATCAAATCTGTGACTGCAGGAAAAGAGCCTCCCAGCCAGATGTGCAGCTCCTATGTGTATATTTTCACAGAGTATACCATAACTTTATTAATAAACTTTAACCTGGTTGACATACATGCTCGTGATTTCTACTGCCTTCTACTGCTATCAATAGTTTTTCCAGGCTTGATTCATAAGCAGGCTTGTAAAACAATTCTCTTTTGAGATTTGCTGGATTTTCAGGATCTGAGTCTGGCAACACTTTGCTATTTGAGAAACTTCATTAAGATTTTGTCCAACTATTAGAATCCAAATTGCAAATCCAACAAGTGGTTTAGACAAGAGAGAAAATGAGGATGACCAATGAAGTCAGGATGACAGCAGTGAAATCAAGCGTCCACTACTCCCCTAAACCATGTGTGGAGGTTTTGGCAAAGCATCTATGAAGAGAGGCTCTGCCTGCGGGTTGCTGTTAATTGATGTGTCAGCCCAGTTTCCAACACAACAGCAGCGATTCTTCCATTGCAGCGAAATGCTGAGAGCACAGGGCTGGGCTCCTCCTCACGCACTTCCAGGTGCATCTTCCCCCCATCCATTACCGCTCATTACTGCACTCGCATTACCAGGAAATCACAGAATCACGGAATCAATTAGATTGGAAAAGACCTCTGAGATCATTCAGTCCAACCTATGACCGAACACCACCCTGTCAACCAGACTTGCCATCAAGTGCCACGTCCAGTCTTAAACATCTCCAGTGACAGTGACTCCACCACCTCCCTGGGCAACCCATTCCCGTGTCGGAAGTGAAGGAATTCTTCCTAATGTCAAACATATACCTCCTCTGATACAGCTTAAGACAGTGCCCTCATCCTACCGCTGGTTCCCTGGGAGCAGAGCCCGACTCCCACCTGGCTACGTCTTTTCAGTGCTTGTAAAAAGTGATAAGATCACCCCTGAGCGTCCTGTTCTTCAGGCTGAGCCCCCCCAGCTGCCCCTTGTGCTCCAGCCCCTTCCCCAGCTCTGCTGCCCTTCTCTGGCCTCGCTCCAGCGCAGCACCAAGAGGCAAAGCCCGGCACCTCCCGAGCTCAAACCGCTGCT